ACAAGTGATGAACAGAATCAACCTTTTGGGATTTACTTAGCTGGATGACTGAGCATACATCAAGACAAATGAGTGTGCACACATTCAGCCTCCTTTTTTGACTCAAACAGGGCGATTTGACAGCATTTTATTCAGTTTTGAAACTGCTGATTGAGTCAATGAAATCCTCTGAACAAGAGATGCACCAGGAAGTCATTTGTAGTCATTCACTGGCCATCCTTTGCATACAGTCTGTAGCCCAGATATCCAGATAACCAGCTGCAGCTGTCTCGATTGGGACTTCCTGTTCTGCCCTCTGCTCGTAGCTGTGGATATGCTTATTTAAAGCCTGTTAAAATGTGATGGGTCAGTAGCACTCGGACACAAACCGAAACTAGAAAGCTTCCTGAACCAAAGATCAACAGATTGTACGAGGAAATACATGCATACGCATACAAATGTTGCTTTGTTTTTAGTTTTTAATTTTTGCAAGAGCAAAAAAAAAAAAAGATTTAGAAATCTAGTAATTGCTAAAGACTGGAGAATTTAAAAAAAAAAAAGATGATTTTAGTAGTTTTGAGATGGTCACTACATTTAAAAAAGTAAAAGCATGGATGTGGAATAAAACAAGCAGTGCGTTAGAAGTTAATTTGGTCCATCGCTGATCCAAAGGATGATATAAGTACATAATCCTGTTATTAAGGAGATGAGTCAGTCTCAGTGAGAAAACTCAGAATTATGCCCTTCATAAAGTGCTGTTTATGTTTGCTTGTTTTTATCCTGATTATCTTTTTTACTTTTTGCTTATGTGTTAAAAGATTTGGATTTCCAACTATAGGTGAACTTGGAAATTTTGGGATATTATGAAATGGGAAAAGTTCATAGGATCCTAGGAGCTCTCACTAAAAACTGTTTCGATGAGAGAAATGATCAGGTTGAAATTCACAAACTGCGCGCTTGACTTGTAGCTGGAGGTGATGTTAAACTTACTGAAAGGAGCACTTACTGTGGAGAGCTGGCTGGTCAACATAAATCTAAAGCCGTTCTCCTCCTCTGCTCCGATGTCATGTGATTTTTGTTTGCTTTCCAACACCTCAAAGGCTTCTACCCTCCTCTGCTCGTCGATGCCTCTTCTCAGCTGACAGCAGCTCACATGTTCCCTTTCTGCACAAACAATAACACGTAGCTTGTGCTGATGTTACGCTCGCCGATAAAAGTTGCTCACACCGACACGTGTCTCTTTTCAAACTTCGTGCTCTGCTGTTTGTGTGCAGGTAAAGCCTCAGCTGTTATTTATCTGCCTGTGCAGTGTATAATCTACCTTTCTGTGTATCCTTGAACCGAGTGAAAGGATCAAAGTGAGGCGGTGACGCACTAGGCGAGCTCAGCTCTGATGGAAAGATGAGTCACTGGTTTGATTAAGCAGATCCTGCTGTCATCACGCTGCACGGGAACATTTTTTGTCTTTAATGTCTTTGATCGTAACGTTGAGAAGCAGGGTGTACGTTCAGAAGTTCATAAAGAAAACGGCTCTTTTTGATTTCTTAAAAACAACAACAACTCAAAACAGCCCGCCAACGAGCTTTTGTGCTCATTTATGCTCCGCTTGTGATTTCACCTGGTAGCTGAACAGCCGCCCACTGCAATGCACAAATTATGTTGTCCATGGGGGGAAAGTAAAAATAAAAACATAACAGGCTGTACTGTTCGCTCGCTCCGAGGCATTTTTGGATCAAAGCTTTGGCTAAACTGTGAATGCATTCGCACACAGGCCTCAGTGTGGATTGGAGTCTGGTAGTCTATCCCGCTGAGGTGCAGCACGCCGTATGTGACATGAAACCGCCTCTGGTCTTCTGTGGTTTTCCTGCAACGTCTCAAACTCAGCGGTGAGTGGGACGTGCTAAGGGATTTTAGTGAAAAGTCAGAGAGGGAGAGATAGAGTCTGAAAGACCCACGGGATCGTGGTGAGCGGGTAAAAAACTAGCGACGTGCTAACAGCAACTTCACCTGCTCGAAACAGGCGTATCTTAATAAACCAATGAATTTAAAAGTTGAACATTTCATGTAAAACCAATGAACTAGCCAGAAATCCAAAGGTTTAAATAAAGAGCCCACTATAACACGAAGAGGAGCACAGAGGGATGAAGATGGAAAGGCGGCGGCTGAGAGTAGATAAATCACCAAAGAAAGAGCTATTTTGGGCGGCTCTGTTCCACCCCTTGTGCTCACACAGACACCGAGAGCCTCTCAGTCAGCCAGTCGATCAGGATTATTGGCTGCTGTGGAAGTTCCTGAGGTGTGTACGTGAGCTGTGTGGGGTTCAAGCAAACACCCACAGGTGTTCATTAGCCGAGGCCCCGAGGCCCTGGACGCTGCCCGCTGAGGCTCTAACTGCTGCGATGGCGAGGTTTAAACACCCGAGTCCCACGGTGATCACACTTATTATGAAGACGGGAGCGAAGCGGCATTCATAAACAAACGCTTAGATGTTGTGGTGAATGGCGAACACCGAAAAGTGACTTTAAAAATGTGTTCGGTATGTCATCTGTTCGTCACTGGTATACGTTTATTGGATGTTTTAATTGTGTAACAGAATTGGTGCGGAGGAAAATCACGAGTAGTGACTGGAGCAGTATTTTTTCCATGCCCTTAGGTTGGCAAAAAACTGCCTCCTTAGGGAAACGACCACTTTCCCTTTGGCAACCAAGCTGTTATCTGGCAAGTCTTCTGACATAAGAAGAGCTTCTGTGAGGATGATTTTATGTCTTATTTTGTGAGCATTCGGTGATGGAGAATATTTTTGAAAGAACTGAGCTGTTTGAACTGTCGGTCCCCAGCAGAGCAGTTTTTAACATCATAGTTAGAAACCTGCTGGGTTACTTACAGGAGCTGTGCTACTTGTGTTACGCCTGTAAAATTACAGCCACTGGACTATTCATTTACAACTTTTGAATACTAGACCCTAAAGGGAAATTACAGTTCATTCCACTACAGTCAGGATCTGGAATTAAATAAAAATAACTTGTTTTTAGTGCTCAGAATCATCACGGGGACAATAAGCTAGTGCTCATCACATATTTGCATAGATTTCTATGTAAAAGTTAGATCACACCTCAGTCACACTAGACTAAAAATAGGACGGCAACTTCCTTGTGACTAGGACAGAAATGGTGGTTTCCCCGTGAGTGTGTTTAATTTCTTTTGCATACGACGACAACAACAAAAAGTTTCACAGGTCCAGTATGCATCAGTCCTCTTTGCAACTGCTTTCGATTGCTAGACCATGACACCCATCGGGAGGTGGGAGGCAACCTGTGGGGTCCTGTCTGCAATCACATTGGAGAAGATCTACAAATAACTGCAGAATAATTTATAAACAGCCAGATTACCAACATGCTGCAATCAATCTGAGGCAGTCGACACTGATGAGCACAACTTATATTCCTATATAGATGCACAGTTGACAAGTGCCTTTGTCAGACTGACTCCGTTTTATTCCTGTTTTACTCATGGCCATTGATCAGTGGTTGTTGATCAATGGTCATGAGATTTTGCATAATTATATTGAAGGAACTGACCTCCCAGCCCATTGTTCCTTCAGTGGGCATCGACTTTTGAATCAGAATCAACTTTTGGAGAACACAGCAGAGTCATTTTCAGACATTCATTCACTCAAAGTCCAAAAGTCTGCTTGCTGCTAATCTCAGTAGCGTTTGGCTCTTTCTCTGTCCAGAGATCTGCAGATGCAGGTCAAGGAGGGGCAGCCACAACAGATGAGGCCTCCACAGGAAAGCAGAGGCTTACTTTGACATGCAGGAATCTACTGTAGCGGAATATTTATCCTTTATTAAACTGGCAGCACGCTGAGTGCAAGCGGGGCTTTAATTCAGGCACATTAAATTAGCAGTTATTTGTTTGTATTCTTTAAAATTTAATGTCTGTAACAGGAAGTTGTGAAACTTTAAATACTGTGATTATCCATTTACATTGTTGTTAACGTAGCGATTACAAGAAGTTCAAGTACTGAACTTGTTTAGTTTATAATTCTATAAACGTTCAATCAACATGCAGATCTCTCCAGGTCCAAAAACTCCGTGAGAGAAAGATAAAATCTTATGACTATGTCCTCTTTCAGCTAGCTGTCAAGTGTAGCGTTAAATCCACAAGATACACAAATTAGACACAATTTTTCAAGTACTTTTATTTTAATTTATAATACAAACAAATAGAAATCATTTGGCAGCGAAACCATGACTGAAATGGGGGCAAATAGGGAAAATAAAATTAAAACACAACTGATCAGAACAGCTTATTTATTATTTGTGATTAATCAACATTACTTGAGTGTGGTTCCAAAACCAAAGTACTGATAAAGATAGCTATAAGACCTTCGAGAGCTGGATTTGGCTTACATTTGTATGAGATTCAGTGAATAGAGACAGAAGCGTGTACTTGGTTATGGAGCTATGGTGAACACTGAGCAGCCATCGGGGAGGCTGGAGTTAAAAAAAGCACTCTGTACTGCCGCCCAGCCTCAGTTAGGTCATCACGGAGCTGAGCTAACGTCACAGGCTGGACGAGAAGCGCAAAGCCTTAAAGTGGAATAAAAATTAAAAGTAAAAAGCTAAGAGGGTGAAGCTATGACCCCTCTGAGGTTCACTCAGCAGCAGTTTGACCTTAGCTGATCTTACATTCACATTGACTAGAATAAATGGTCTTGTTTATGAAATGTTTTCACACAGTCATAACGTGCATAATAGCGACGATCAGCGAATGAATAAGCCTCGATTAAAAGACCGCTCCTCATCCTTCATTTACGGAATATTCAGTAGATTAATTTTAGAAAGCAGTGAGATTTTATAAATAACAGCAGAACAAAATATAAGGAACAAAACCATGATGACCTCTCCTTATCCACGTGCTCGGTTCCTGTACAGGCTATGGCAGGGACTGTGTTTGCAGAAGAAACACTAAGATCCAAACATGATAAAAGCAACATGTGGTGTATCGCTAACTGTGTGTGTGTGTGTGTGGACGAGGCAAAGCAGGGAGCGAGCACATCCAGGCTTATTGGGACTGTGCGGAGTGTTGGGTGCACTGCAGGTCAAACTCAGCGTGCACTCTGACGTCTCTTTGGTTGTGGCTTCATGCAAAACTTGCAGCTTTGAAAATGTAGCCTCCTTCACAAGGCACACATTATCTTCTGTCAGTATAACCACAGCTTAAAAAAAATATCCAAGGGTTCAAAAATATATCTTTGTTGTAAACAGAGTTTCCATTCATTCCCGTGTTCTTAGATATGAGCGTTATTCTCCAGAAGCGTGGCAACGTCTCATCGTGGTTTCGATGCTCTTTTGAGTCCTCAGAGTTTTTTTATGTGGTGGGTGAGCGCATTCGCCCTTCACTCATAGTCCTCTCCTGCCGTGGCGGCCTCCAGAGCAGCGAGAGCCTCTGCCACCATCAAGTCCGTGACGCTCTGCACCTCCTGCTCCTCGTCCTCGCTCTTTGACACCGAGATCCCGCTCTCCATCGTGGAGACGTCGGGAGTCTTTGTCAGCGTGAGCTCGTCCCTCGTGCCCCCTGAGGACAAGCTGGTGTTACTGGTTTGGATGTCCACTGACAAGACGCTGCCCTCGTCCCCCGTGTCACACAGGTACTCCGGGGTCCCTCCCACACCCTCGTCTATCTCGTCTGCTGAAAGCTCTGTGCTGCTGAGCCGGTGCTCGGAGCTGGTCCACCCGTTACTCGTCGCCTGGCTCCTCTGGATCTCGTAATTCTCTACGCTGGGGTACACGGGCACCTGGCTCAGACCTTTTTCCTGCGTCATCCATTGCTGCCCCACCCCTTGTGGCTGGATGATGTAGAGCCCTCCCTCTGTCGGTGGTATACTCCCCTGACGGTGTAGTCTTTGGTTGACATGGTTGTTGTCAACTTCTAGTTTTAGTGTGCTCTCATTGGACTTGCTGTAAGCCATGTTATGAAAGCCATGCTTCTGCTTGGCCTCACCATATAGGTCCCTGTTTGGGGCCCCGCCCGGGCGGCGATGGGGCTGGTAGAGCGAGCTGCCTGTGGAGTCGCTCTTTCTCACGTCCACTGGAGCTGAGGGGTCGTAGACGTAGCTGTGAGAGCAAGACCAGAAAAGTCACTGCTAGAGTTACAATGATCATAGACTGCTCAAAAAAATATAACTACAACTTGATCATGAGGGTAAAGAACATGCTCAGGTAAAGTTCAGGGGTATCAGTCTTTATTGTTAGGAAGGAGAAACCACTGAAACCACTTCACCTGTAAATCACTTTGCAGAGGAAACAAGACAAGCCCCAAAAGCGAATGGCACATCAGTATGTATGACTGCAGGGAGGTTCGCTTTGTCTTAATGCTATGGAGGCTATACAGTCAGGCGCGGAGAGCTGGACATGGCCGCAGAAGGGCATCAAACCCATCAGCAGGACCAGTGTCTGCTCTTTTGTGTAAACAGAAGCAGGAGGAGCACTGACAGAGCCTTTCTGACCAAACAGACTCCATGAGGGAGGCATGAAGTCCCCTTTAATAGGATGTATGCTCAGATTAGCATGATACAGCTCAACTGGCATCCCCCAACCCAGTCATGCTGGGTTATGCTGCAGGCAGCAGCACGTTCGCCACGGCATCTCCAGACTTTTTCACTTCTGTGCTCGGTGTGAACCTGCTGTCGTCCGTGGAGAGCGCAGCAACCACACCTGGCTGTTCAAAGCCAATGAGTCAGTCGGTAGAAAGTTGGCTTAACAGGAGTGGTGAGGGAAGCAACATGGCTTGTTTTGGACATGTCAGGGAATTAATAACACAAAGCTAATAAATATGCTAATAATAATTTCACATTAAAAGCACAGGTGAAAGGATGGAAGTACTGCCTAGTCAATCAACCATTTTGAAGCCTGACAGATGAAGGCTGATGGTAAACTTGAACAAGTGTAAACAGTACAGTATCTCGCTCTGACACGAAGTGCTGTAGAAGTATTAAATATAAATTTGTACTTAGGAACAGTACTTGCGTGTACTTTAGTGAGCTACTTTTTGCCGCTGGGTTTTAAATTGCTAATGTGACAAAGTAAGTGTTTTAAAGAGGTCACTGTGGGCTACAGACACACGTGAGAGACATCTTTTGTAAACCTTCAACGACTAGATGTAGTGAAAACACACCCCACAGTATTTAAAATGCAAGCTCACATTCAGTGTCATTTTAACTTCTTATTTAAGCACAGATGACTTCTGACTGCTACAAACTGAAGATGAATTTCAAACTTCTAGAAGAGTGACTCCTCGTTTTTAGCCTGCGGATCACCATGGCGACAGACGAAGAGGGCTTTCCGTCAGTCTGACGGGGCTCCTCGGGTCAGATGTGCCGACGACCACATACTGTACACTGACAATGACAAGGGTACTTTATTGTGCGGCCGCTGCACATTTTCAAATCCAATGTGATGTCCGGGGCGTGCATGCTCTCGATGTTTACAGAGGCTGCCTAGAGCCTCAGCGGCGGTAAGTTCTGCACTGCTCATGTAAATGTCAGATATATTATGCAGAGCGTTGTAGGAAGGAAATGTGCACAGGCCTGACTGCACTCTTCTTTTGGGTTTAAAATGTTTGTACTCCCTTTTACTTCCAGATGTTGGTTTATGAGAGGCGAACAGTGGAAGACACAGATGTTTAGTCTTTCTGTTTGACTGTAAGCTTAAAGCTAACCTTAGTATAAAAGAAGTGTTTCTTATACAATTAGCTTCCATTCAAATAACACATCAGGCTGAAAAGTAAAATGAAGAAATTGTTTTAGGGGAAATAATGTTTGCTTTCTAAAGGTTAGCTCGGCCGGAGGATGCTACTTTAAGGTCTGTCTGTTCAGTACGAAGGTAAAGTCACAAGGCAATTAGCCTAGCTTAGCTTAAAAAGCAAAACCCAAGTTAAACAGTCAATTAGGCCAACTTCAGAGAGCACAGTAAACAAATTCCTCACAAATCAAAGCAGTCGCTTTAAATTAAGTATAAAGTATAAATTAAGTATAAACTATAATCAAATGGTTTTTTTTGCTAATGCTAGATTTTACAAGATGCTATCTGTTAGCTAACTTCTTATATGCAAGGAAATGTATTATTATGAATTTTATTCCAAGTACATACAAATAAAGTCAAGTGTTTTAGAAAAACCTTTTTGTTTTAGAAAAAGGTGCTCAATTGGCTCTTTGGGATGAGTGATACTGAGTTAAACAGTGGCATTGTGACAAATCAATTTAACGAGCGTCTGTTTTCAATCAGAATAAGAAAATGCCATGAAAAGTAACACTGACTCATTACATCGCCCTCATGTGTCGCTGCCTCATTTGATGTTTCTGCTGAACCTCTGCTCTCACCTGCTTTGTTATCCCTGCTGTGAAATGACTTTCACTGTGTACATCGCAGCGATACGTGTGGCCAGAGATTCGTTGATGTCTTCCCAATTCCTCAAAAGATGCTAGAGGTCAGCAAAGGTCTGAGACTAATTAAAGCTCATTTATGGCACAGTAAGTATCCCCTCGCGGACATAACGACAACCTGATACCTCCACTTTGAAGGATGTTCTTACAAGGACACGAGACGAAGTAGTAAACGCAGTACAAGTACAAGACGGCTTGCTATCACACGCTCACGCACACGCCTCGACAGGTATTACAAGTGTTGGCGAGGGTGGGGGGTTTGCGGTGGGGATGGCGCAACAGTCTGTCAGACATCGCCTGCTGCGAGCAGCTTGTGTTTTTCACGCCCATATTTTCTTCATTTCATGTGTTTTTTCCTCCACCCTGCCAGCCTCCATCTTTCACCTCTCCAGGAGCTCCTGTTCCAAAACAACCTCCTCCTCCTCGCGTCTCCTTCAGCGTCACCGTTGTGTAGCTGCAGCTCACTAATCTTCTACAGCTTCGCACTTGACTTCTCCTTCATTTCAGCATCTTCCCTCAAGCTTTTCTCACCTCCCGCCTGCTTCGTCTTAAGTTGTCATGTTCACTTGTCTCTGTTTTTTTTTTTTTAAATCTAACCCTCCTTTGGCTTCACTTTTCACTGTTCAGTATTCAACGTGAGCTCGAGAAGTCCTTAGAATTAAGAAGATAACTTTCAAACGTGCAGATCGATTAAATTGCAGCATTCTGTCTTCCCTCCCAGTACGCAGACACACAAACACAAAGCCACCTGCCTACGCGGTTACAGTCACACACACGTGCGCTCACCCACTGACTTAAGCACCTCTCTCTCACCCTGCATCCTTTCCTTCTGTCTCCCCTCTCAGTGGAAAGCTGAGAAAATGAATGTTTTCCATTTCTTTTGCTCCTGGGCAGCACCGCTGCCAAGGTGAAATTTGAGGTGTACTTTCAGAAAAGTGAGAGATGCACAGGGCGTTTTACTACAGAAAAAAATATAATTCATAAAGCTGGACAAAAAGACTTGCGGGGGGGACAACAGGACGCCTATCACCTGAGAGCAAAACTAAATAAATGACACATTGCTCCAACTTTCTGGTTTTGGTCTTTTGCTGGAGTGGACAGACCAAAAAAAATAAGAGGCAACATATTCTTTGCATACATGTTGCTCAAGTTGATTCTTCAGGGCGCTCGCTTTAGAGCCGATGGCAATCATTCACAGGCAGTTCAGTGATTAGACACGTGCACAAGCACAATACTACTTTCCCTCATGTGCTACAGAAATTAAAGCTGATTGCATCTGTTCTGAAATACAATGGTGCAGAGGTGCCTATAGATTTTATGCCAGTGAAACCATTAGAGCTGTGATGAACATCCTAATCTTTTCAATGTGAGGCACTTTGTCCTCTTAAGTGGATGAGAACTTCCACCTTGCACTGTGAAGTTCAAAGGAAATACTCCAGCGAAGGGTTCGCAAAAGGTGCACTCCCAAGATACCCCGATCAAAGATTTCTCCATTCATGCCGACTCCATCTACCACAATAAGTCGGACTTGTTTGTGATTGTTCCTCTTAGATTTGATGCATCACTCCTACTGCTGATCCAGTAATCTAAAGGCCCAGCCATGCCAGCCCCCCTCCCCAATCCTGTTAATCCCAGAAATGTGACACTCCAGACAATTACAGAGGAATGCGTGCTTGTCACAAGCATTCACATATGTATCTTTTGACATGGGAAAGACAAAAAAAAAAACAGCTGTGTAGCGGGATTATGACTCTGGTATGTGAATAGCTGTGTGCACATTCATTAATCTGCAATCAAGGCCTTGTTTCTCTGCCCTATTCTGTCTCCTCGATTGCCTCACAAAGCACGGTGATGTCGAGCCCTGACAATGATGTCGTGTAGGCTTTAATGACTAGGCAGCCCTGCAAAAAATAAATTAAAAAATACAGTAACATGGAGGTGAAGGCTATCGGCATATCGACTCACAGTTTGTACTAAGTATCCACATGGGGCTTGCAAAGCAGACGTATTATAAATAGGCCTCTCACTATCGCCATGAAACAGACAAGAAATCATTAAGTGGCCAAGAAGACATTAGAAGTGGCACTGACGAGTAACATTGGGAAATCAACAGTGAGAGGTTGTTATTGAGTAGCTGTTTAATGGGTCTCCATATACCTCTAGAGTGAGTAAAAAATTAATACTGTATTTTTTGGACCATAAGGCACATTAAGTGAAACAAAACAGTCAGACAAGTCAAACTTTACTCAACTCATTCTTCTTGCTTCCTCCACTTCCCTACCATTGATTCATTAATGTTGAATTCTCTCGCAGCTGCTCTATTCCCATGTTGTTGCAGTATATTAATAACTAACCTCGTATTGTGGATGAATAATCTCAGTTGTTCTCCCGACTGAAGTTTGGTCCGTTTACAGCATCCTGCCAAGTGATTGCATTTGTCTCTAACCATCAGGAAACCTCACATTAACTTTTGTCGAGTGGAAAGAAGTTAGCGTTCATCCTCCAGTTTTACTGTGCTAATGTTATGCTAACATAGCTGTGTCACTAGCAATCACGTAGCACATCATTATACACCAGCTAGTCCAACTTCAGTAACCCTGCAAACATCGCTGCTGTTTAGTTTTCTGTCTTCATTTATGTTGGAAGTGATAGCAGAGCTGTACGTTTGAATTTTTTCTGAAATCTCTCAGTCAGAACATGCTGTATCATGTTTAGGTGGAAGCTAGCGAGCTAACTTCCTGCTAACTTCTAACTCCG